TTGCTAGGCATCAAGAAGTAGACAGCTGTTGAAACCAATAATCTTCTATTTAATGGCCCCATCTAGACGGGGCCAAATGGCAGAAAAGCCTCTTCCAGAAAAGCAATCGGAAAAAGCTGCGCAAATTATTTTGAAACAACGCTAGTTATCTCGAAATAACGGTGCAGTGTAGACACACCCTGAGACAACTGGATAATGCAGGCAGCTTGAAGCACTGTTCTTCTGTAGCTTCAGGACTTAATCATGCATTCCTTGGATAGTCACAATTTGCGTAGCTTTTTCCGATAAAAGGCTATCGTCTAGACATAGTCCCACTGACTACAATGTCCTGTAGCAGCTACAGGAATGACATATTACTTATACCAGAATTTATCAGATATCTAATCACAGAAAGTCTGACCTAATTCCTGTGGAACACAACAGGCATTTTGCCATTGATTCAATGGGAGTTTGATTAGGCCCTTGATTCAGGTGGTCTTGAAAACACCACTGTACAATTGAGGGTTTTGTTTCCCCTTGTTCTAAAGAAAACAACCAGCCTTCTATCTGTGGGCATTTAAATCTGAGAAGTTAATTAATTCATTTTAAAATTCCAATATGCTTGACACATCACAGATTACTAGAACTAAACTGGAGAGGACATTTAACTCTGACTGGTCTTATTAACGCACTTCCCAATTCAGTCAGCATGCTATTTAGCCTTAATGCCCTAAATTATCAATACAACTAACGTTAAGGGGCCAAATTCTTTGCTGGTGTTTACTAGCCATTAACTTAAACAGTACTATGTCACTTCAAACCAATAGAAATTTGGACGTTCATCTCTCAATAGTAATCCTAAATGGCTTAAACTGTAATAATTCTTCTGTAGAACTGGTGAGGAAAAAACAAACCTGAATTCTTCACTCCCCCAGAAAAAAAATGAAGCTTTTTAGTCTTTCTCCTAAAAATCTGTTCAAAAGAAAAAAAAAGGTTGAGGGATAAGAATGTGAAAGTTTGTCAATCAAAATCAACTTTTTAAAATTAAAATTTCCAGCCAGCGCTCAGTTTCAATAACTAATAGAACTGCAATGATTTAAAATATATGAAACATTCTCTTTCCTTCACTTGCCAGGACAAATTAAAGTTTTTGGGCTAGAACCTCAGCTGATATAAATCAGGATCACTCTATTCAAATCAAAATAAATATGCATCAGCTGGAGAATTGGTACTTCTGCCTGTAGCTCTGGATGTTAGAAAGGCTTTGAGGCCTGACTTCAGCATTAAATACATTTTAAAAAATACTGCCTTTTCCACAATTATCTCTACTCAGTATTTGAGTGTGACTTTCAGCAAGTAGGAAACTGTCTTTTTCCACTGCAGAAAAACCACTTTGCATTTAGGTTGACCTCAATGTTGCTTTAGCTTGAGGCTCTGAAGGAGAGAGAATTTTCTCTATGTAGGGAGCAGATAAATACAGATACGGTATCTTGGCCAGGAGTTAGGCTGTTAGAGTCACATAAACTCAATTTCAGTATAGAAACGGAATTGTTCTTTGGATACCATTACAAAATGTAGGAGGGACCATTAAGAAACTGGACTAATTATTTAGAATCATAGAACTGGAAGAGACCTCAAGAGGTCATCAAGTCCAGCCCCCTGCTCAAATCCCAATTATTTCAAACTCAGATTAAAATATTAAATCTACACTGCAAAGTAAATCAATGTTCCCTCTAATCTTTTCTATCTATGTTCAGAATATTTTTTTTTTTAGGTCCACCAAGGCAAGTATCAATGTCCCACCACCAAGAGAGAAACAAAACCTAGTTGTGGGTGCTCTGCTAAACAACTGGGCGGCATCTGCCCAAGTCTACATCTTACAGGTAACACTGATAACTGGCCTGGCCTAGTCCTATGGGATGCCCACAACAACGTGGTGACAGTTCCATCAACAGGAATAGTCACTGCTGTCCCTGGGAGAATTCTGCGCAATGCAGAATTCTGCAGAAATGAATAGCGTGTGTGTGCAGAATTTCCTGTCCTCCCTAGAAATGGGCTGTAGTACTGCTAGGTGCTACTAGGGGCCATTGGACACAGCTCAGCCCAGGCCACATAAAGAAGACACTGCGAGGGGGAGGAAATGGACTAGACCAGAGCTACTCAACTCTGGAAGCCCCGGGGGCCACATGATACTCACAGCACATGCCGAGGGCCGCAACTTAAGTGTGGTTGCATGTACATGCAAATAGCTTCTTTCACACGGACAGGCATGAATACAAAGATTAAGGCAAGACGACACAACACGCAGGCCCCATTCAAGTCAGTTCTGCTGATATTAATAAAATGCAATATTGACCCAATTTCCAACCATATGACAGCACTTTTAATGAGCAATGACAGTCCAGGAATTGAACTACTAAAATGCATCTCAACAGAAGACCATTGTATTACTTTGTTTCGGCTCCCACCCGCGGGCTGCATGTTGAGTAGCCCTGAACTAGAGGGTCCCAGGCAGCCGCAGTTCCCAGCATGCCCTGAGGGAGAAGGCAACATGCAGGAAACTCAATGCAAGTCTGGGACTATGTCTAGACTATGGAGTTTTTCTGGGATACCAGAGGTATCTCAGAAAAACTCTGCTGCGTCCAGGGAAGGCGTCTGCTCTTCTGACATGTTTTGCAGCAGAGCAGGCACACTTTCGGAAATCCTGTCTTCCTCATGCCACAAGGAAGAAGGGCTCTTCCAAAAGAGGAGTTTTTTCTGAAATTTGGCCCAGTGTAGACTGGCCAAATTTCGGAAAAGCCTCTTCCAACAAAACGATTGGAAAAAGGTACACAAATTGTAGAACACAATTTGCATACCTTCTGCTAAAAAAAAAAAGCAGCAGTCTAGACATAGCCTGGGATCAGAAGCATCAGGCTGTTTCTCGCTCCAGATCCATGGGCTCAAAGGGGAAAGGGAAGGTGAAGAGAGAGAGAGTGTGTGTGTGTGGGGCGGGGGAGAGGGTGCAAGGGGGGTTTCTTTTAATTTTTTTAAATACA